TCAGAAGGTTATGTGACCACCAGGATTCACAGCTGGTAAGGGCAAAGTGAGGTTTTGAGCTCAGGTATGTCTGACTCCAAAACCACTATTCCTTACATTTTGGCAAAAGTGAAGGCGGGGGGGCTTAGAGAGGGTGGGCTGTCCACCTCCTGTCATTGAACCTGTGGTCTCCCGGGGATTGGCAGCGGAGAGGCCTGCTGAAAGGCTGCAGAGAGCTGCACCTGAGCTGTGTCAGCACGGGCCAAGGTTCTCTTAGGATTCCTTCCACCTCCACTGCCACCTCCTAGCCCACTTTAAGCCTCTTTGGGAACAAACCCCAGCCTCCGGTATTGGAGGAAGGCAGGGGCCATAGCCTACCTTACCTTGTAAAGTCACCAAGATTCAAACCCAAGACATCCTTCCTGCAAAGGGAACCTTGGCTTACTTCATCATCTGTGTCTGAGCTCATGCCCCACCCAGCTGACCTTAGAGGGAAAAAAGGGCCAGATCTGCCACCCCAGAGGAGGAAGCAATGTCACCAGTTTCACTCACCCTACCTTCCACACCCAGGGGAGAAGGGCACCAGGATGTGGCTTGTCAGTGGGAAGCAATGACCTTTACGTTTGACATGAGCCACTGAGGGCCAGGAAGAATCCGCCTGCTACAAGTCTGCATTCAGAGTCATTCAGCAGGCATTTAGCAAATGTCTAGCAGGCACCAGGCATCTTCACCTCAAGGTGGGATGAAGATGATGAGACATCTGCTCTCATGTCCACAGACTTGCGTTAGCCAGGTCGCCTGACTCTTAGTGCTGAGCAGCCCCTCTTTTCTCAGAATAACAAAGATGTCAATCTAGAGACTTGCTACTTGGAGTTGAAGCTGCAGTTACATTTATAGGTTGCTGATTTAATTATCTCAGTAGCCCTTCGAGAAAGGTATTGTGGCATTCCAGATGGGGAAACAACTGCACAGAGCAGTTAAGTAACTTTCTCCCAAGAGCAGACCACTAATAAGGGCAGAGTTAGGATTTGAGCCCAGGAAGTCTGGCTCCAGAGTCCATGTCCTTAATTGTCACACTCTGCTGGTTGAGAAACTGAGCACCAAGCTCCTAAGGAAGAGACCAACTAAGCTGGGAAAAGGGCTTAGCTCTTCAGGCTGCCCCTCTGCCTCCATCTATACTTGCACTCACACCCTGGCTTCAGACTCCTCCAAAACTGATGCGGCAAACTAATCTGAAAGTTCTTCCAGTCAGCCACCCAGCTTCTGCCTCCCACCGCCTTAGAGCCCTGCTGTGGGAGCCCATTTCTGATTCTGCCCTTGCATCTGCTGCACCTCTGTTCACAAAGCCCTCCCATCATTCATGCCACAGCCCTACAGGCTGGGAGGGATCAGCTCTTTGACAAGGGGAGAAATGGAGGCCCAAAGATGGTTC